ATATACTCAATATTCCATACTCCTTGATAAACATTTACGAATTAGGTTAAAACATGCTAAATGCAGCATGCTAAAACGGTGATAAAATATACTAAAAATAAATAAAAGCTGGGAGTAATATAATTGATCATTGAAATCGAACCAGTAGAATAGACATACTTAAAAGATATTATTACTGGAATCGAAAGGAGATAATGAATTCGGTTGACCATAAATTTACTTCAAAATTTCTAAAAAAAAAAAAAAACGATAAAATTCATTAAAATTACTAAAACAGTTTTGATAAAAACATTGGTACAAATTCTAATATTTCGGTTCAAATTATGCAAACAAGTTACAAATTACAGAAAGAATTTTCAATTCGTATTAACATTGGTATCTGACAACAAAGGACATAGTAAGCGACTTTCACAAGCTTTTACGGACGGTTTTTGATCATTATAACTTCTAATATTTTTAATTAGAGCAATTTATTTATATTGGTTTGAAATTTAATTCTATACGTACCGGACCTTAATGTCCGGCAATTAACAAGCTTTATATTTCTGGTTCCTGATTGGTACAAATTCTAATATATCGGTACAAATTATTGGCATAATTTGCAACTCAAAATTTTGTTGTTGACGGGACACACAGCACCTCGTGGCCGACTTATACCATCTTTATATCTTCTGTATATAATTGGTACAAATTGAAGTTTTTGGTTCTAATCAGTATAAACTAAGAGCAATTTATTGGCATAAGTTTCAACTAAAACTTCCTTTAATGAAGGGTTACAAAGCATCAGGTGGCCGGTTTTTACAGGTTTTATAACTCGGTTCCAGATTCGTAAAATTTCTACTATTTTCGTACAAATTATTGGCATAAGATTCAACTCGAAATTCCGTATTACATGTGACCATGTTCCTGCACTAGCTTGTTTGCTAGCTTAATATCTCCGGTTCCTAATGAGTGCAAACCTAATAATAGTTCGGTGCAATTGTGTAAATATTAGGGAAAAATTATTAGCATAAGGTTACCCTTAATATTCAATATTTCATGTGACCTACAGTCCTCTCCCCTGCATTTTTGACAAGTTAGTATCTCCGGTTCCTAATAGGTACAAAGTCCAATACTTTGGTAAAAATCGTTGGTATCGGTTTTAACTCATAATTCTATTAGTTCCGGATTAAAATGTAACTTATTCGGTCATTTTACGAGCTTTAAATCTCCGGTTCATGATGGGTACAGATGCTAATAATTCAGTACAAATTATTGGTATATGTTTCGACTCGAAATTCCATAAGTGTTGGGTTATAATGTCCCTAGCTCTCATTCATTTCAATGGCTCTTAATTAAAAATGAATATAAAATATATGGAATTCCGAAATACGTAGTGTTCTGAAACAAGTGATTTTAGGGATTCTAGTTCCCTTAAGAGAAGATGATTTACCCCTAACCAAGAAAGCTGCCTTGTAAATTGTGTGCTTTATGTTTTTGGAACGAATTTGTTAGCAATTTGTATTATTACAGATGACAACAATTTAATGTTTTAACTGCGACCTAGGGAAATACCAAATTAACTGAAACGATCATGACAGACTTGTGAAAATTTAGTTGTGAAAATGAGGCAAAGTTGGCCTTGTCTATTCAATTCTTGAATGGAATGTGGGAGAAATCGAGAAATTTGCAGATTTAATAAAAGAGTTTATTGCGGCGGAAGGTTTTATTTTTCTTCTTTCTTCCGTTTTCTTTTCGCATGCTATAGCAAAGCACTTTGCATCTATTAGTTTCTTCTGAATAATTAATACTTATTTAGGTGTTTCTTTAAACGCTCTCTGCTACCAATTTGTTACGGTCTTTAATTTAGAGAAATTGTTTCCGCAACAAACTTGCCGGATGCTCAGTGGAGACGGCAGGGTTCGCAAAAAAAAAATAAATAAAAAAAATAATCAAGGGTCAATAATTATTAATAACTTTCTAACGAGCGCCACGCTATTTAATTGGTTGAATTTGGAAAATAGTGAAAACAAAAAAAAATAATAATAAAAAAATAAAATAAATAAATTTAATTTAAAAAAAAGATTAGGACGCGGACTGAGCTACGAACTCGGAACCTTTGGGTTTTAAAGCATATGTTAATTAACCTTTCTACTTGGTTAACCTACCGAACCTTCTTAATTGGTTAGTTATGACTTCCCCTAATCCCTCGAATAGGGTTTTACAATGCCTTATTAAACCTTAAAAAAAACAATATAATATATACATAAAACATGAAAACAATTAGAAGAAAAGTAAGAAAATAAAACTGGCTGTTATTAATACTAATGATGGATTTACTTATTTCTATTAATTTAAATAACTGTTAAGGAAATGAAAATTATGAACAAGAAATTAGATTTATAAGAAAACAAAGAAAAGAAAATTAACTTAAATTATCAAAGAAAAGATTATAAAATTATTATAGGACTAAACATTAACTTACAACTATACAATATACCAATTACAAACATTTAGAAATAAAAATAGATAAAAAAAAAACTTATATGTACATATTTACAATATCCCCCTGGTTGAATTATGTCCAATTGACACATTGGGTTATTTGAAGAAGCGTCAACTTATTCGAACTAGCATCATCAATGTATCCACAATTTATCTCCTCAAGTTGTGAAAATGTTCATTCACCAACTTGTAAGATCAAGCGGCACTCGTCGCTGATTATCACAGGTTCATGGAGAAGCAATGAAAATCCGGTGTACACCATAAAACTAAAATATTTCACAACTAAAAATCCTTAGCGTGCCTCTACACTCGCGAGGTACCGCCATCCCTCTTCTGACTCGAATGTCTTTTGTTTTTTCTCCCAATCAGCTATTTTCTGTTACACTGACTTAAAAATAATATCTACAATTAATACCTAAAACTAGACTTATTATAAACAATTGCTTATTATTAAAACTAATAATAAATATTTAATTAACTAATAGTTAATTATATATTTAACCCTATTCGAGTTAATTATAAAAAACTTGTCGGGCATGTCGGGCTATCTTTTACACCGATGCGGTGGAGGTGCTTCTGAAGGAAATCGTGGCCTGTCAGCATTCTAAAGCATGCCACGGCTTGCCCTCTAGGGAGGTCTCTAGGAATCCTGCCACTTTCTTCCAGCAATCCACTCCATCGTTTCCCTTCAATTGTTTGTACATATTTCGCTTTCAGTGAACTTTGGAGGGTCTGCTTTATGATTCTTTTTGTTGAATCCATGGTCAGAGGAATATCGGGTTGGATCATTCCAGAACCTATTCTGGCCAGTTTATCAGCTTCAAATAAAAGATTATAAAACTTATTATTATTATAAAAAACTTATTATTACTTTTAAACTTAAAAATTATTTTACGAACTAATTTTTTTTCCGTATTAAATTTTCATCACAAGTTGTATAAGCCGTATAACTTACAGTATTTGTTCACCATTAGGTAACAAATAGTATGGATATAACACAATGACAAGATATATTGGAAAATAATACATCTAACGAATTCATGTGGTTACAGGCATTACATATTTTTGGGTTAAGTGATAAGAGCTAAAATCTGGTAAACCCTCTTTAACAAAAATAAATTAACATTGGTACATTCTTTATAGCTGACTACTTATGGATTGATTTTGACTGTTCATTCTTATTTTTTATCGGTTACTATCCGATCTATTATATTAAAATTTTCATTGGCATTTACACCTAACTCACCCAGGCAAATAACTACAATATGGTTTCTTAACGATATACGGATTTGTGTCAATAGGTTGAATAAAACAATTAAATAAACCAATTTAGAGCAAACTGTTGTAACGTTTATAGGTGGTGTCAGGCGTAAGGAGGAGGCGGTCCCATCGCCGCAAATAGCCTTTGGCCCTTCAGGTTGGGGGAACAGTACACTGACACCCATACAGTACACAAACTACAGCACACTACATACACCCACATAATAAAGACGAAGATCACCCACAGTCACCTCCCCTAGGTAGCCGCCCCGGAGGGGGCATGTCTACAGGCACTAAGGTGGCAGCCTCACCTGGAGAGGGTTGATGGCCCCACTGCCTGAAAACCCAACCATTAGGAAACCCAAAGAAAAAGGCTCGGAAATTCATGAAGATTCTCGGAAAAGTTCCGGCACACGTCATAGGTTTATTATTGGATACTGGAATATTCTTTCATTATATAGACCCGGAGCACTCAATATGCTTTAGAACGAAGTAGATAAATACCAATTGGACATAACCGCCATCCAAAATATCCGGTGGATGGGCTAGAGAAAAGAAATCTTACGATATTCTACAGGTGCAACAATCGGGTACACACCTTTGGGACAGGATTCATCGTAAGGAAATCAATCAGAAAATTAGTTATCGGATCTAAGCCAGTAATTCCAAGGATATCTGTGGTTAGGATTCGTAGGAGATTTTATAACTTCTCAATCCTTAGTGTACATGTCCCAACTGAAGAAACTGATGATGAAAACAAGGATATATTTATAACTTGCTCCACAGGCGGATTTACGGGGGTGGGCTTTCGTGCTGAAGCCCCCAACCCAAAATGGTAAAATGAAACTATGTTTTATGGTAAAAAATATTAAAAAATTATGTCTTAAAGTATTATTGCTCGTTTAATTACATTTAATAGGACTTCCAGAATCACTTAAACACTATTTCGTATAGGAATTAGTATCTTTCTGTTTTTCCAAAGTAATTATCGTTATATATATGAAAAAAAAAAAAGCTTCCGGGCTAAAGCTCCCCCCAAATTAAATCCTGGATCCGCCAGTGATTTGCTCGCCACTACGCTGGACTCCCTACCTAGTCACGATATGAAAAAGATTACCGAATACTTTAAAGCTAAAGTCGGTCGAGAGGATATCTACATCCCTAACATCGGTAAATACAGTTTGCATGAAGAGAGCAATAACGGCCGGCGTCTAGTCAACTTTGCTGCTTCCAGATGCCTTAAAATTGTAAGCTCAATGTTCCCATACAAAAACATCGACAAAGGTACCACAGATGGGCTCACAGTCAACCAGATTGACCATATCCTCGTAAACAACAGGTACGTCAGTAGCTTCACTGATGTCAGAGTGTTCAGAGGCGCTAATGTGGACCCACTCAGGGTCCGGGCAAAATCTAAAAAGTTTAAAATCGACAAGTTTAAAGACCCTCAAATTATGGAGGCTTATGCCGCATCACTGTACTCACAGTTAAGATGCATGGAAGACTCAGAAGACAGTGTAAGTGGCATTTGGAGTAACTGTCGCAAAACTATTGAACAAACCGCTGAAGCAATACTGGGGGACATGAAAAGAAAAACAGGAAAAGCTGATTTGATGAAGACTGTCGAATAGCTTTAGAAATGAAAAATGCAGCATACCAGCTGATGATCAATAAGAGCACGTCAGTCATGGGTCCGCGGCTTTTTTGTTTTTTTTTCTAGAAAAAGTGAGTTATTTTGGAAAATACTTGTTAAAAACTGATTAGTTCGTGTGCCTGCATCTCCTGATAACTATTGAAACGATGTATACAAGGAATAAGTGCGTAACGTGCGAAAATATCACCACGCAGTGTCACACGTGGCTTGGAATTGCCGCTTTTATCGAAATATTAGTATTGATAAACTTGATAGAGGTGCTTCGCGAGTGTAGTGGTGTGTTGAACAATAACCAAGACCTCCTCTATTAATTTGGACAAATTTAGTCTATCAGTTTAAAGGTAAAACTAATAGTTTATGCTGCCACGTGGCCTGTTAGGTTATCCCTTAGTACCTGTAAATATAACTAGCCTTGTTAAAATTGTTAATACTGTAAATATTGTTTTTTACGTCCTTTATGTGGATTTTATATTGATATAGATTTTATATTTATACGTCCTTTATTTTGATTTTTTATCCTTTATCTTAATTTTTATCTTTTATATTGTTTCATATCTATGGTTTATTCTCACTGAGTTTATTTATACCTTTTTATTTATCATTCATCTTACAAGTATATCTTGTATATATATATAATATATATATATATATATTATATATATATATATATATATTATATATATATAATATATATATATATATAATATATTAGTAGTTTATTCTATTTGTTATTAGTTTATTATATCCTATTAGATTCGATTTAAGATAATGCAATTGTTAATTTAAATTTAAACATCAACACATCTATTTATATTTATTTTTTATTCTTTATATCGATTTTTATCTTTTATATTGTTTCATATCTATGGTTTGTACTCACTGAATTTATTTATACCTTTATATTTGTCATTCATCTTTCATTTACAAGTATATCTTGAATATATGTAAGGTTACTTGAGCAACCTTTAAACACTTCAACAGTTACTTATCTTTAAATCAGATGTTAATGATTATTCATTAGAAAATACCTTCTTGTATTGTTATATTGGATTAGTGTTATAATTAACTTGTGTTGTAATAACGTGTAATTAAATTCTTTTACTTTAATTGAATAAATCACGTCTATAAAAGATCTTAGAAATTTAATTACAAAATCTGACTATAAGAAATGACTCTTCTGTACGTTCAAATTGTGAAGAGGAGTGAGGAAGACTTTGTGGTTCAGTGGACAAAAGAAATTGGTTTTTATTACCAGAAGAAACCCAGGACTTGAAATTTCGTACGTCTCTATGAAGTAAGAAACCTTTATTAAATGCTGTGTATGCTATAAAAAATGTCAATGGTTATAGAACAATAAGGGTTAAGATTGTTGTTGTTGTTGTTGTTGTTAAGATTCATGACATTAAAAAGGAATATTTTGAGGAATCATCTAATATTTGTTTTAGAGAGTTACCATTGGAGGAATGTCTTCCAAAAACAATTCCTTGTAGACCTACAGACACTCAATCAGAATTAGAAGATCATATTAAACGATTAGAGATGCAATTAAAAATTAATTCGGAACAAAATGAAGTAAGCTGCATCATATTGAAAAAAAATTTATTTGGAACCATTTGATAAAAAGCAATCAGATCCTATAGGTTCGAAGAAGAATGTTGTCGATTTCAGAAAAAATCCGATAATTTAAAGATTCAAGCGCTACGTTTTTATCTCATTAATGGTCCGGCTAATGATTGGTATGAGAATAATTTAAAGAAGATTGGTCTGAACGATTCATGGGGCATATGGAGGAACTCTTTTAAGAATATTTTTGTTGATAAAGACTGGTCTCATGTGAAAAGAGCTTTTGGCTACAAATATTTAGGCAGATCCCTAGTCGACTATGCCCTCACCAAGGAGAGATTATTACTTGACATAGAGCCTAAAGCACGGAGATCTCCCGTATAAAACAGATTGTATTCGGTTTGCCAAATGAGGCTCAGTTGAAACTCGATCGAGAAAAAATTTGTAATTTGTATGAATTATACTCAAAACTACGAAAATTGGAAGATGCGTTAATAAAAAAGAAGGAAGAAAAACTATCAAATCCAAAATCTATTGTGAATCTCGCTTTAAATTATTTTAAAAAAGGCGAACCACAGCATAAGATTAATTATCAGCGTAAGCCATGTTCTCACTGCGAAACCCTCGATTTTCACAATCGTTATCAATTAATGTCTGAATGTCGAAATAAAAATAAAACTCCAAACCAAACAAAAATAAATCAAACTGATCCCGATTAAGGCGAAATCGATCTTGATTCGGAACATTTAAACTAGAAAGCCGGGCGAAGTTAGATCCGCTGATTAAACTAAATGTTGTTATAAATGACAGTATTAAAATTAAGGCTATTTATGATAGTGGCTCAAATGTAACATTAAAAAATAAACAAATTGCTGATTTTCTGAAGTTGAAGTTAATTAAACAAAGAGCAGTGTTAATTTCACCACACATTAAGCGGACTTAATTTCACCTCAGCCCGGGCTAAAATTAGACTCCGTATTGGAAATATTACTGATTACATTAAAACATATGTAGTCAAGAATAATAATTTCTCCTATGATTTATTACTAGGTATAGATGCCATCAAGAAATTTAAATTATTACAAGATGAGAATCTAAGAATTTTGCAACGTACCAATGACACAAAAATCATAACATCAGAAGATCTCTCTTCTGGAAATGGAAGGAAATCTCGACTCTGCATAGATTTCCGAAAGCTAAACAAATTAGTAGTTCCTGAATGTTTCCTTTCCTACTATTCAAGATGTAATTGATAGAGTAGCTAATTGTGAATTCTTCACCGTTTTGGACATCAATTCTGCATTTTGGTGCATATCGCTTCGTGAGCGGGATCGGGAAAAGACCTCTTTTATTACGAAATATGGAAAATTTATGTTTAAAGTTCTTCCGTTTGGTATTAAAAATGCTTCCGCTATATTCCAGAGAATACTATCCAACATTATAAGAAGAAATAACCTGGACAATTTCTGCATAAACTACATTGATGATATTTTAATTTTTTCTCGGAATTGGGAAGACCATCTTCAGCATATCAGCAAGGCTTTAGAAGTTATGATCACTGAAGGTTTCAAACTGAAAATAGAAAAATGTCTGTTTGGTGCGAAATCAGTAAAGTACCTAGGACACAAGTTTTCGAAAAATAAAGTGTCACCCGCCCAAGATAATTTAATATCGATTCAGAAACTCCAGAGGCCCTCAGACAAGTCAGGTGTTCGGAGCATTTTAGGCTCCATAAACTTTTTTTGAAGTACATAGAACAAAGTGCTGTCAAACTAGAACCATTGCATCGTTTATTGAAGAAAAATGTTAAATTCGAGTGGTCAGATGAATGTGAAGAAGTTTTCAATATGATAAAAAACTTTTTGTGCAGTTCCCCGGTCCTCGCTATATGATATTGAGAAGCCTGTCTTCATAGAGACAGATGCAAGCTTAAAAGGTATCGGAGCAACCCTAAAGCAACCACAAGAAGATGGCCTACTTCATCCTGTCGCTTACTACTCACGCAAGCTTTCAGAACGTGAGAAACGTTTAGATGTTATTCACTTGAATGCAAAGCCATTAAAGATGCGATTAAGTTCTGGCAATACTACTTAATTGGACGTCACTTTACAGTTTGCTGTGATCACAAGCCTTTAGAAAACTTGAGGACAAAAGCCAGATCTGATGAAATTCTGGGAGATTTGATTCTTTATTTATCCCAGTTCAACTTTGATATTATCTATAAACAGGAAAAGATAACGTTCTGGCTGATCTACTCTCCAGAAATCCAGTCATTGAACACTTCGAGAATGAAGATTCAATCCGGATCACCAACTTAATAGACTTGTCAGCCATAAAAAAAGACCAGGCTGATAATTTTTCAGAGCTGAGAGCGACTGACCAGATTTTATCAAAGCAGGGCATAATTTTCAAAAAATTAGGAAGAAATCAAGAATTTTTGTATCCCAAGCATTTGGAAAGAAATTATTAAAATCATTCATCAACACTATGGCCATATCGGCCCATCTCACATGAAAGCAACTATCAGACCATATTACTATTTCAAGGGCCTAGATAAAGCAATTAATGACTTCTATAGGAGTTGCAAGATTTGTATTGAGAACAAAACTCGTCGTAGTCGTGCCATCGGCCTGCTCTCCCGTCTCGGCCCAGCCACAGAGCCTTTCCAGATCATGTCGCTCGACAGTGTCGGAGGTTTCGGAGGGAACCGCTCTTCCAAACGGTACATGCACATTCTCGTTGACCACTTCACAAGATTTGCATGGATCTCTACAACAAAGGGTCAAACAGCTAAAGATTTCATAAACTTACTCGATCCTGTAGTTAAACAACATAATATCTCGATTCTACTGGCTGACCAATATACAGGTATTAACTCAACTTTTTTCCTGAAATATTTGAGAAGTGTTGGGACTCAGATCGTTTTCACATGCATTGACAATCCCAGTTCCAACGGATTAAACGAAAGATTGAATCAGACCTTAGTGAATCGCCTGCGATGTAAGATAAACAATGGCAATAGAAGAGCCTGGTCTACCTTGGCAGAAGAATGTGTGAACGAATACAATAATACCATCCATAGTTCCACCCACTTTGAACCATCGTATCTATTGTTCGGCCATCAATCTTCTATATCTCCACTTGGAAACACTCCATCCTCTTTAGAAGAAGACCGCAAGATAGCTTTCCGGAATTCAACGAGGAGTTTCAGTATCAATAAGAAACGCGTTGATAGGAATAGAACGGAACATACTTTCAACGTTGGCGATTTAGTCTACGTCGAGAATGGCAATAAATTAAGTCGCAATAAGCTTGATCCAGTTCGGATTGGACCATTCCCAGTCGTCAGACGGATTTCTTCGTTGTTCTATGAAGTAGCCAGCGGAAAGAGGAAGAACGTCTCAAACTTGTTCCACTCCAGCAAGCTGCTTCCTTACTTCCCGCCGCCTCAAGAAGCGACCTCCAGGGGGAGGTGTAAGGTTACTTGAGCAACCTTTAAACACTTCAACTGTTACTTATCTTTAAATCAGATGTTAATGATTATTTATTAGAAAATACCTTCTTGTATTGTTATATTGGATTAGTGTTATAATTAACTTGTGTTGTAATAACGTGTAATTAAATTCTTTTACTTTAATTGAATAAATCACGTCTATAAAAGATCTTAGATATATATATGTATAATGTGTTAGTACTTTATCTTATATGTTACTAGTTCACTATATCCTATTATATTCGATTTAAGATAATGCAATTGTTAGTTTCAATTTAAACATCAACAAATCTATTTATATTGATTTTTTATCATTTATATTGATTTTTATCTTTTATATTGTTTCATATCTATGGTTTGTACTCACTGAGTTTATTTATACCTTTGTATTTATCATTCATCATTCATTTACAAGTATATCTTGTATATATATATATATATGTGTTAGTAGTTTATTCTATATGCTATTAGTTTATTATATCTTATTATATTCGATTTAAGATAATGCAATTGTTAGTTTGATTTTAAGACAGTTCATACTAACAAGGAATTAGTAGTCTGTAGAATTATAGATAATATTATATTATATTATTTTATTATATTATTATAAAATTATTCCAAACTAATTAAATAGTTAACCTTGTTAGGTTAATACACTGGTTTTTAGGGATGTAAAAGGGATAACCTCAAAATGGAGAAGAAACAAACAATTAAAGGAGTCGAGAGGCCCGGGGAGACTGATGAGACCGAGTCAGCCATGGAGCAGTTAGTTGTGGAGGCCCCCCGACAGAAGGAAGAGGGTAGAATCATCGAGGAAGATAGGCGAGAGGAATGCCCTCAGAAGAAGGAGTGAAAAGAAGGTAAACGCAATATTAAAAAGACGGAGGATATTCAGGACAGACTAAAAGAATACCTATCCAAGACAAATCTGAAAAAATACAGAGAAGAACACATCAATGCCCAAATAAGAGAATTGACAAAAATAATAGTTGGGATGGAGGCTGTTACCAAATTTATTGAAGAGATTAAGATAGACAGTCTCATCTCGGCGGCCATCCTAAAAGCAAAGAGGGAAAACGAACAGGAAATAAAACAAGGTGATGCAATGAATCAAGGGATAGGAGAGGACGCGAGAGTGGCAGAAAAGAGTACGCTGGTGACAAGATGTATGCCGGTCCCCATGGCCCACAGAAATAAGAATATTAGGATTGCCAGGGGAAGAAACTTTGTCACATCTGATGTCGACTCGGAGGAAGAGGAGTTACTTCCTGGAATGAACGTCGAATCGCAGAAGAAGGATTTAATAGATGTAAGGGAGGGTAGGAGGGCGGATGACCAGTAGGATTTCATCATCCCATGCAAGGAGAGAAAAAAGGCCACGAGGAAGGCAAACAAAGAGAAGACCATGGAATCTCAGACGGAGGTGAGCAAGCAATTGACTTACTCGGATATGCTTAAAAACGTAAGCACCAAAGCGTCATTAGGCGGGTCGAACGAGGCTCCTGCTTATGTAACCATTAGAGGTGCTGTAGACGACTGGAACCCTACAGAGATATGGAAGCAGCTCCCGAGCGAACAGGAGCTCACAGGGGCAGAGGTCCAGGTGGAAGTAGTGAAAGTCACTCATGCTGGCAAGACCGTTCTGGTCAAAACCAAGGTGTCTGGCCAGGCCATGAAGCTCATAAAGTGTAAGACTATAGGTGAGAAAGGTCTAGTAGCTAGGTTGGCCAGGACTAAGAGGTCCAAATTAGAGGTGAAAGGAGCTCCCAAGGACTGGGAAGCAGAGACCCTAGAAAGAGCCCTGTGGCATAAACTGGAATCAGGTGGCGTGAAGAGACCTGACCAGAAGGAGGGTAAAGAATGGCTTAGTTCATGTTTCTCTTTCCTTGACAGAGGTGGCCTAAAGAGGAGGTGGGTGATTGAGTTCCACCCTATAGCAAAGGACATCCTCAAAGGAGAGAAGATATGAAGAGGGTGGTGGACCCTAGATATAAAAGACTATCTGGACGCTCCCCACTGGCTAAAGTTTCTAGCCTCTGGACACATAATGTGAAAAATCAGTGACGTGTAAGTGATGTGGGGAAGAGAGCCACAAGGTGGTGGAATGCCCGAACAGGAAGAGTGGCCTACCCCCAGAATGCAAGAACTGCAAAATGGCTGGAAAGCATGTCCGGTACACATTGAAGAGATAAAAGCGCAGATCCAGAAGACCAGATATGGATGAACTTAAACTGGTTCAGTTCAACATGGGCAGAAGACGCGTAGTGCTGGAATAGTTAAGAGAAATGTCCCGGCACTGGCATTCCGTACAGGGTGGCAATGGATAAACTTAAATCCGGTGAAATAATGGCGGCAATAAGATCTGCAGATGGACCAGCAGCCACCCTCGAGGAAACAGTTGGAAGATACGTGGAGCAGACCTACCCTAGGGATGACCCGTCCTAGGACAACGAAGAGGATAAGGTTCTGAGGCAAACTACGGAGTATCTGCCTGGCACGGAGTTCATTCCACCATGGGACGTGTGGGACCTGCGAATGACAATAGACAGACAAAGGTTAGGAAGAGCTCCGGAACTTGACACCATCGATGCGGCGATCTTAAAGAGGAGTGCTCCCTATATTGAAAAAGAATTACTTAAGATAATGAATGAATGCTTGGATAAGGGTCACTTCCCAACTTAATGGAAGATCGCCGACATGAGACTGCTATACAAGGGGAGAGGCAAGGACAAGCAGCTAGCAAAATCCCACAGACCCTTATGCCTCCTCCCTGTAATGAGCAAGGTCCTGGAGCACCTCATTATAAAGACTCTGGCGCCAGTCCTGCGGTAAGCGAGTCACCCGAGGCAATACGGATCCACGAAGGGGGGCGGTACCGCAGATGCCCTGATAAGAGTAAGCAGGGAGGTTGATGACAAGGCGGAGAAATATGTCATGATAATCCTCTTCGACATATCTTCCGCCTTTGACAGCGGTGGCTCCGCGTACTCCAGCGCCTCCAACAGTTTGACGCCCTCGGCAACTTGTACTTCCTCATTAGAGAAGTATGGCAGAAACCCAATTATTGATCAAAAGGAGGATGTTGCTCTAGACGATAAATTTTAGAACATAAATTAGAAAATTGACGATGGAGCACATTATTATTATTATTATTAAAATTAAGGTAATTACAAATTTATTGTAACAAGCATAATACAAATATGTAATGTAACAAGTACAATATTGTAACTTAAAAATTGTTTAGCCTTGCATCCACAAGAGTATTGGAATTGCAGTTCTGAAGATGGTAATAAAGGTCTCGAAACTTAAACTAGCCTGTAAATTAGTAAACTTTTATATAACCTTCTTATTCTTTGCCTTTTCAGAATTACGTAATCAGTCACGTGACCACCGTTATTTATTCTGTAACCTTCCTGATGTTTATCTTTTATATAACGTTCTTAATGTTTGCCTTAACATGTAACGTTAAAAATATACTCGAATTGTTAACAAATGGAAGTTATTATTGCCAAGCAACTAAAGTTATCTTTTATATAACCTTCTTATTCTTTGCCTTTTCAGAATTACGTAATCAGTCACGTGACCACCGTCATTTATTCTGTAACCTTCCTGATGTTTATCTTTTATATAACGTTCTTAATGTTTGCCTTTTCATGGTCACGTGACCGCTCTCCCTTTTTCCTGTAACCTTTCTAATGTTTATTTTTAATATTATAAACTGCCCAATATTGTTCCTTATATAACCTTCTTAATGATTAACTTTTCAGAAATACGTAATCAGTAACGTGATCACCGCCATTTTTCTTGAAAACTTTCTAATTTTTATTTCACATATAGCGTTCTTAATGTTTACCTTTTCAGTGATACGTGATCAGTCACGTGACCGTCTCTAATTTGTTATTGATATTGAATTTATATTAATCTTTGCATGCAATCCTTATTTCTTATTGTTCTTCTTTACGTATAAACATGTATTTAAATTTTTAATTCTTAAAACACCTTAAAACACAACTCTTGAGGCACCAGTAAACAGGTTTGACATGTTGCGGACAAGTTTCATCATACCTCAATTTTATGTAAGTAATAACTTTTAATCCAACACTTATTTTTTAATATAAACATAAAAAATAGACTCTGAATCCTGAATCCTTACAACATAAACGTTGATAAACTGTGTTTTTTTTTAATACCAAAAAAGAATAACAATGGGAACTTTTAAATAAAGTAGTGATTGAGTGCACTTTCAAAACACAAAAATATATTTTTCAAATTTTACAAAGCGTACATTTTTTAAGAACACAATTCTTTCTAATTAACGATAGTAATAAAGTAACATCTGTTTTTTAAATATATTTTAGAATAGTTATTTTGCCTGGAATTAAAATAATACATTTCACATTGTATTTAAATGTAAAAAAATCTAACATTCACGGTTAACGAATTCTCGAACAGTGTTAATACCCTATCTTTTTATTTTCTCCTTTTCCGCTAGAATGCTTATTCTAGTTCAAGGGTTCAAAACCATTATACACATCCGCGTTACGTCACTTGTGGCCATGAGCAAACTTTTACAGGCTTATGTATAACATAAACTTTATCTGTGATCACCTTTGCAACTATTAGACAAGCCATAGAAGTATACATGCATTATTTGAAAATAGTACTTCATATATTTAAAATAAGATTATTACTTTCATTGGAAGGAAAAAAAAAGGTATAGTTGGTAACACTGCACTAGATTTATTTTAATTATTTTAATCAGTTATAATCCATATAGCTTCTAATTTTATTTAATTCCAATTTAAAACAAAAGCTAATTTTCAGCTATTAATACTTTATTTACTACTAATCTGCCTCCCTTACTATTTACTATTAAGAGTGTCCTTTTTACACCGCAAGATTAAAAGATCTCGGAATACCCCAGAATATACCAGCATCACTGGAAAATCAAGAAGAAATCGCTACCAAAGTTATCAAGTTCGTGGATAGTGAAAGACTTGAAAAACATATATGACAAGCTTATAATTAATGATCCTTTTAGATTTATTATTATTTATTTCATTTGTTTTATTTGTTCATTTCAAGTTCATTTCTTCGTTAATTTCAATTCATTTATTGATTTTACTGCTATTTGCTTCATGTTTCATGTTTTATGTTTATCTATTCTATTTTATCATCTATAAGTGTCTATTATTATCCTTATTTATTTATTTTATTCTATCAACCCATTTCTATATTATTTTTTTATCATTTTTTGTACCAACCATCCAAACAGTATTAAGTGGTGTTATTTAGTTGGTTGGGCTCTTACGAACTGGATGTTTTGCGCCTAGACATCGCAACAAGCAAACAAACTATAAATCTTTGTTAGTAGCCTAACAATGGACTTTAAAATTTTAAATATCCATTTGGACGTTTAACCTTAAATGTATTTTCAACACTCATTCCACTATTTTGTAAAACTTCAACAAACTAGAATTTCGTCACGTAGTCATGGCTCCGAATTCGGATTTGAATTTAAATCATACTGCTCTCAATTGTATTTAGCTCAATCTAACCTTAAGACCAAACCTTAACCCCCTTTATAGTCACGTTCTCCCTTACTATTTTGCGGCACCTACTCCAGTTGGATATTTCTATGGCTTATTTATATTTTTGTAACCATACCGATATTTATCTGACCCATCCAATGTTTTCATAACCTTCTAATGTTAAAAATTGTTGTTCGATAGGGTGTATCACTTATTCTACATCGTATAAAGTCCGCTAAGAATGCTGAAGATACTATTTGTGGTATTTTTTTTTTCATTTTTGTAAAATTCTAAATATTTACCTGACTAGTTCACTTTTTACACATACCCTCCTCAATATTTACATCTTAAACCATCTTTTGAATGGTTATATTATCAGAAGAAGTTGGTCGGTGAGTGGTTCTCATATTATATCACAGTGAACAATCCGTATACCATCATGGTTATATTATCAGTTCGAAAAGCTACAGGACTTAATATATTTTGTAATGTGTTGACTAGGTTGTGACAACTATTCCATATGACGATTCTCTCTGGCTTGTTCACATTTTATTTCCCAATGTTTACATTACCAACTGAAGGGACATGAACCAACATAACCTTCTAATGTTAACAATTGTTGTTCGATAGGGTGTATCACTTATTCTACATCGTATAAAGTCCGCTAAGAATGCTGAAGATACTATTTGTGGTATTTTTTTTTTTTCATTTTTGTAAAATTCTAAATATTTACCTGACTAGTTCAATTTTATAATGCTATGTATTCTAAAGATCGCCTGTGGAATTTATTTAATTATTTAAAAGGTATAAGTAAATAAAACTCAATAAAAAGTGCTAACATCTGGGCTGTTGGTGTACCGATGGGAGTGTAACGACCCAAGTGCAACCTTTTGTAAGGAGCAATAAAATACCTAAGAACCCTAAAGGACCGACACCGCTCTTACAGAGGCAAGAAAACCAAAGGACCGTCAACATAATTACGTGGGAAAGTCGTTACTTAGAGAGTGGTCGGGATACCTGATACCCCCTAGCAACATTTTAGCAGGGGCAATGAAACACTTAAGGAAAAATACCAGTCTTACGAGCAAATGTGTTAAAAGGATGCGAAGGATCCTTTCTGCTACAAAAATTAGACCAATGGGAACCATTCTTGCCCCACCCTAGATATTGGAGTAAAATCTACACAGATGCATAGAAGAGGAGCCTTTTGGTCTTAGGCCACTGCCCGACCTAGACGATAGGTCTGATGTAGCTGACCGGCCTGATGGAGGAAGATTATTATGGAGAGCCGGCTAGGAGCCTGATGTTTTCTTACCTCTGTGAAGTTGGCCCCCCATCCTCAACTTTTTTTAAAAATTTTGAGAGTTCTTATAGCCCCCCCCCAAGAGTTCTAGAGTTCCCTATACTTTTTAGAAATAGTTCTATTGTTTAAACCACC